AGCCCGAAATAGCTATACTACGTTGCCATTGTCTACGCCGCTATACTGAAAAGTATATGTCTTTAAAAGGATTTCTATGAAATGTATTTGAATTTGTAAGGCATGAAAAATCACCGTGTGTCCTTAAAGAAAAATCTAATTACCTTATCTATAATTCTTATTTGTTCAGAAGCAGGTATCAAACTAAAATAACAATTTGATACCCCAGGTTGGCAGCAATGATTTTAGGCTATTATAAAACTGTAAAATGAGATTGGCAGGCATTAACATGCTTCCCAAAGACCTACCTGCGGTACGTAACCCTGGCGAGGTTGGTGACGCCGACGATGATGAATCCTCCCAGGAGAATGAGAGAAATTGCCTGAACGGTATCGGCTACATTAAAAGACATGCACAGTAAAGAAGCTGTAAGAGAAAAGTAGTTTGAACTCCTACGCTGTCAGTAGGGCATAACTATCCAACTTACTCATTGCACAGTCATAAATTAGGCAGGGGTTGTGGTTCGGCCCAGTACTTCCCTCGGGCCAAACCTTTTTGGCTCTTCTCCGTACCGCAACGAGCGGCCAAAGAATCACATCGGTCAGCAGGAATGTCTCATCGAAAGTCATCTGGGAGACATTTCGACGGGCGCCAGAGGCCTCCAGATTGATGGAGAAGATGAACATGTCGTAAAGACCGCGGATCTCATTGGTTCCGTAGTTCTCGAAGTGGAAGGTGATCCCCGGCGTGACGGGCACGTAGACGTCCTGACTGCTCATTGGTGCGAAAAGGCCTTTTGTTGGATCCAGTTTTCCTCCACTGACTTGAACGTTTAGCTGTGTGAGACGCATTGCTAGCCCTGCCGCGGCTGCAGCAGCCAGGTTTATTTTCTGATAAAAGGCAAGACGCAACGATGTCAGTGAATAGTGATCCTTGTTGTGAATCTCCGGTCAGCGACAGTTGCCCCGTCTATTCCGACAATTTTCATATGCTCCACAGTATGGTGGTACAGAGACGGCGACTTAGACGTGGATTAGTTTTAAGTGATAATTGTCTTTCATTGCATCTACCGCACTCGCTCTTCTCTCACTCACCCGAATCCGGTGTCAAGACAGACCCCAGAAGACCGGAGACGGGACCGGCCGCAAGCGGACGCAAGCGGCCGGAGTCGGCGTGTCTGACTTAGGTCCAAAGGAGTGGGAGTACCATGAAGCACACGGATGGCTGGTTTCCACGTGTGCCACCAACGTCTCCCCCCCATGTTAAGCGCAAACCAAATAACGCCTGCCGGGCACGGATCTGAGTCTCGTGTTGGACCAGCTCACCTATCACGCGGTCCGCTTGGGCACACAATTCGCCGGTTAACGCAAACAACCTAATCGGGCGAGTGCCCTACTTCATTTAAAATCAAATTTCATGTTTATTTATAGACAGTCTAACTAAAGGGGATGGAAATATTTAAGAGTATTTGGTGACCAAGATACAGTTTTTCGTGTTGAACTTTCTAAGGGATGGTCTATAACCCCTCTAGAGATTCCTTGTAGATATTTTTCATCTTATCTGTTCTCGGGTTATTTCGGCATGGCGTTTCTATTTTTGCAGTCAAAATATTGAAGAGGAAACTTAGTCGTCTTTTCTCTGTAGTCTAGTTAGGAAACTTGCAGTGTCAGGTGTTGCACCTTTTTTACTTTTCCTTCCTGCCTTTAATAATGATGTCGGCTACTGCTTACAT